CAGAGTGTTGTTCAGCATGGGGGTGAGTAGAAAATGAAGGCTAATCATGTTTTGGGTGTACTATTCCTTTAAGTCTCTGAGCTGCTCTGTAATCAGGCGGTTAAACTGCCTGTTGTAGCTAATATACCACAAACCCTTAGTATGACACAAACAGCCAAGATAGTGTTTTTAATGCCAGGTTTTAAATGTCCAGTGCGAACATAGGAACCTTTGGCAAACACTTGTTTCCAGTAGGACTGGAACACGGACATATTTTCTGCTGACTGCAGAGCTGAATCCAGTCAGGAACCAAGGAGCTCTGTTTGTGAAGAAGATATAACTACTCATCTGCTTATTGAGAGCTTATATAACCTACGTTTTGAGATTAACACTGTATGAAAATATTGTAGATTGTTATTACCACATTTCATTCTGCAGCATATTTGCTACATTAGTGCCCAAAGGTATGCCCTAATCCCTATATAGGGCACTATATAGTGATTGCGCCATTTTAAACGAGTGCGCGATCATCTAGTGGACTATTTTCCACAATGCATCTTGAAAAGTAGTGATCATCCATGGTCACTGGACGAGCAGATATATCCCAGAATGCTTTGCGCAGAGAGCTCTTCTCGCAAAGCATTATGGGATTTGCTGGAACAGCGGCCCGCTGTCCCCATAGGCTGTCACTCCCTGACAGCGGCGACTAATAACAACGATAAAAGCACAGCACAGCCTATGCCAACCAGCTAATGCTACATCCTAAACAGTGCTGTATAGAAATACCTTCCAGAACTGGTTTGCTTCAGGGACCCTCAGTTATATTTTTATAATCTTTATAAAAGAAAAAATTGGGATATAAATGTTTGTATCACTGAGTTATTTGTATGTCATTATGGATCGTAAAGACTGTTATCTACTAAATTAAATGTTAATTATTTGGCAGGGCTCGATGTTAACCATCGCCCGATCTCCCGGGGCAAGTAGTTTTTATTGTCGGGAGAGTACATATTTCATTGCATTTGCTCGCCGGGCAAGTGCAATGATCAAAAAAAACTAAATATTCATCACTCAAAATTGCTTTAAAATCACCGACATTCACTGAAAACAACCCAGAAGCTTTGCAGGCGCAATTTTTGTTGTTTTGTACCGGTACACATTCTCGCGTGATTTGAAAAAGCTGCATGATTTTCCACTAGATGGGGTGATTCAGCTCTTGGGGAGAGAATTCTGCAGAGCAGCAGCTGGATGATGAATTTAATCGATACTATAATACACGCTAGATTAAAAATGATCAGTCCAGGATTAGGAAAATAATAATAATTGTATGTGAATAGTGTAAATATTTCTATCATATGGCAGTCTTCTGTACAGTGATGCACGTCATACATTAAAAAATTTTCATTAAATTTTTTCTCTTAGACATTGGAGTGGTGCATTAAATGTTATAGAGCTAAACATGTTAAATTGGTGAGTAGTAGTATTGTAAGTTTTTAACCTGTCAAGTTTTTTTTTAGATTTTTAACATTACAATTTATATTTTTTCAAGCACACAACAGTTTAAAGCAAAGTTTATTTTGAAAAGAATGTGCAGGAAGGATTGAAAAGCATGTTAACACGGTAATGTAGGCTTCAGTTCATTATCTGACGCATGCATATACACACCAGGAACCTGGAAACTTAAAAAATACTGAATTACAAAAAACATTTAAAAAACAAACATGTTTCATTGATATATATACAAAAATGAATATTAGGAACTATATTTATCCAACATTATACTGGGCAAGTAAAAATTGTTTCTGGGTAATGTGAAAGTCACTTGCCCTTTGGGTAAAAATCCTTAACGTCAACCCCTGTTTGGTAATCAGAAGCAGTAAACAGGAAGGATGAAGGAAGTTGTTGCAGTTTAACAAATGTAATGTGTCATTTTTACTGATTAAATCTGTTTATTTGTTTTTTTTTTTTACAGTTTTATTACTTTGTGTTTTGCTAATTTTGACTG